CCAGGACAAGCAGGTCCACACAGAGAAACCCTGTCTTGAAAAGCAAAAACAAAAAAATGTTCAATCTACACATGCCAAATGTCCATGTAATGTTACAAGAAAAAAAATTTTCTGTGCAAGAGAAGAGATTCAAGTATAATGTTAAAATAGCTTTATAAATTTATATTTTGTTCAAACAGGAAATACTAATGTGAAATTATGATTTACTTGTAACATACAGTATTTCCAAGTTCTAAAATCACTGAGGCCATGGTACTGGACACTTCAAGTGTCAAAGTTCTGCTTTATAACACCAGTCTCCAGTGAGATATCAACTGACTCTAGACCTGGGGAGAAAGAACGCAACCGTGAGCCTGAGGAACTCCGAATACAGCTGGGGAAATAGCTCAGCCAGTAAACACCAAGCACCAGGCCTGAGTCAATTCCCAGCACCCACTTGGGAAAAAAAGGCTGGAAGTGGTAACTCGACCTCATAATCCCAGTACTGGGTAGGTGGATAGAGGCAGCCCATAGGGTTTGCTGGTCAGCCAGCTTAGACCACTTGGCAAAGATCAGGGCAGTGAAAGACCCTGTCTCAAAGCAAGGAGGGTGGGGGGCACCTAAGGAATAAAAATTAGTCTTCTTGCCTACACAAGCACACAACTGCACACAAATGAACACAAACACACAAAAACAAATGTGCCTGTGCACGGGCACAGGTGAATGCACATATGAACACACAAGCACGTGCGCGTGCACACACACACAGGAAAAAAAATCTAGACTCAAAATTGCAAGGAACCAGCTATATATAGTCTACGCTGACCCCAAACTTGAAATATTTCTGCCTCAGCCTCCCATGTGCTGGGGGATTACAGGCATGAGCCAACATATTCACCTCAACAATCCATCACACACACGCACGCGCGCGCGCGCGCACCACCACCACATGTGTACCCGGTACCCCCAGAGGTCCAAAAGCATCAGATCCTGGGGAATGGAGTTATGGATAGTTGTAAGCCACCATGTGGGTGCTGCAACTGGAAATCAGTCCTCTGCAAGAACAAGTTTTCTTAACTACTAAGTCATCTCTCTCCAGGCCAACAACCACTTCTTTCAATACATTCAATGTTTATTTGTAACTGGGGCAGGCATGAACACTCTAGTGCACACGTGCTCAGAAGACAGCCTTGTGGATCAGGCCTCCATCACACCTTTGCAGCTCCCAGAGCCAAGCAGGCCATGAGCCATCTCACCTGCCCTCAATCTTTTTATTCTGCCTTTTTAATGGGAACGACAGTGCAGATTAAAGAGCCCCAGTTAATAAGGCAAGGTTCCTCTTAAAATACACACACACACACACTCACGTTTATATTTACAAAAGAAATGGTGACAACCAGGGCTACACAGAGAAATCCCGTCTCGATAAACAAAAAACAAAAGAAACAATGCAATAATAAAAAAATAACTTCTAATGGATTGGCTGATTTAAACAAGGACTAAATGCTAAAATATATAAAATATAAGACCTGTGGGGACCTAGAATAATAGTGGCAAAGTTTCATCTCACAGATTACCTGCTAGCTACAAGGGAAAATCCTTTTTATAGAGAGACCTGGGTTGTCACAATCTTAAACAAACAAAACAAACATTACTAATAAACGAATGTTCAGATAGGAAACCTTTCTGATGTGATACAATATGGAATGTGCAACGTGATAGACCTAAAAATATTTAGCCTAAATTCCATCACGCTGAATTTTTAATCTAATGCTCAGTATGCTAAAAACAGACATACAGATTCGGCGTCACATCAAAAAGGAAGAATCTAATAAATCTAGATAAACAGACAAAACTTTTCAATCAGCTGATGTCCTGGAAGGAAGGGGAAGGAAGCTATACTGCAATCAAGAGAGGTGCTGGAGGTACAACAGTCAAACAGAATGTGTGAAACCTACCGAAGCGACACACTAGCATGTTTTATTTCAACTACATTCTCAGTATCCTCCAATGTAAAATGTCAACAAAACCCTATCAGGATAAGAAGATTTTTTTATTTATTTATTTTTAGACAAGATCTCACTGTGTAACTCTGGCCAGCCTGGAACTTGATCTGTACACGAGGCTGTCCTTGAACTCAAAGATCTGCCTGCCTTTGCTCTGAGTGCTGGGGAATTTTTATTAAATTTTTAACCCACAGAACTTGGCATTCCACTGTAGTATATATGTACTCACCTCCACTTAGCAGCTTCATGACTAGCCACAGCTCATCTTTTACCACAAAAGACGTGTAGTAGGACACAATATTAGGATGATGGCATTGACTCATGGCTTGAATTTCTTTCTACAAAGAAGAAAATACATAGTCACTTATTAAATTCCAGCTTAAAGCAACACCTATAAATTAGCAAATCCAGATTTAGTTATCCCAGGACTATGTTACAGTCTTCTCTGAGATTTCCAAGGTACTAATCTCTTCATGAATGGCTACAGGCCAGGCTGCATATACCTCTAATCCTGGCACTTGAGAGGAAGGAAGGCTGAGATCAGGATACACAGGCAAGATCCCATCTAAAAAGACTAAACCAGGCCTGTAAACCCAGCACTCAGGAGGCAGAGGCAGGCGGATCTCTGTGAGTTCCAGGACAACCTGGTCTACAGAGCAAGTTCCAGGACAGACAGTCAGGGCTACACAGATTAAAGGGGGGGGGGGGGGAAATCAACCAGAAAACCATGTAGTTTCCGTCAGTCAACTCTGACTCTAACTGGACTCCTCCTAGACACTGTGTTAGTAATCTCTGAAACAGAAAACATGCACTGTTTAGCACATCCTGGCATAGTGCCTCGGAGGCCTCCATTGGGACACACAGTTTTACTTCAAGGTATCCTTGAATAACTATCTTGGGAAATCTGGCCAACAGAGAATAATTACTAATAAACAGAAGGTAAATGTTTTTGTCTGTCTGTCTGTCTGTGGGGGGTTGTTTTGTCTTAGTAAAATATCAGTTCACCTAATTTTTGTGAAATTATTAACAATTCTCACATCAGAGAGAAGTGACCTGAAATGGTACAAAGTTATCAACTAAACCAGAGCAGTGAGACCTGTGCCAAAGCCTGACTCTATCTCGATTTATAAAATGTAAACTAACAAGGGACAATTCAAAGGTTTGAGAGACCCTGAGTGAAAGCAGGGACCCTCTGGTCTTATCCCTGTCCCTTCTGACCCCACTCCTAAGATGTAGCCACACAAAACAACTTAACGCTTCTATCTCTGGACCTTGAACCCTACAGTTCCCTCTGCACCACATATATTCCCACAGCATCTTAACTTAGCAATCCGATTTCAGTGTATTTTTTTGTCATATTTTCCCAAAGCATCCAGGTTCGTCAGGGGCTGCTGCTGCTCCTCCTCCTGTATTTAACAACTGTATTTTTCCAGATGGGAGAGGCCTTAGACTGGAAGTCCAAGAGCCCCTTAACTTTCCAAGCACCTTGTGCACCTTCTCCCGTGACAGCACGTAAACACTACACAGTACATATGAGCTTACTTGTCTGGCTCTGCTAGACTGAGGGCTACATGAAGGCCAGGACTTAGAACCAGGTTCCCACATGGGATGGCACATGCACGCAATCCTAGCACCTGGGAGGGAAGGCGAGAGGAATAAAAGAGTCTAAGGACAGATTCGGCTACATCGAGGGTTTTTAAATCTATACTTATTGATTTTATTTTATGTGTATTTTGTATTTTGCCTGAATGTATGTCTGTACACCATATGTATGCCTGGTGCCTATGGAGGTCAGAAGAGGGTATCAGACCCCCTGAAAGTGGAGTTGTGAGTGGTTGTGAGCCACCATGTGGGCCGAGGGAAGAGTTGAACCTGGGTCCTCTGAAAGAGCAGCCAGAGCACTTAACCACTGAATCAGTCCTCCCACCCTAGTTTATAAGGCCACTCTGGGCTACATAAAAACTCTACCTCATAAAAGCAGTTATTAAATCCTATTTTCCCAGTCATCATGGAACTATAACCTTAGTAATGGAGTACTTGCCTAGCATGTGCTAGGTCCTTAGTTCAATCTCCAGTGTGTGTGCACGTATGTGCTTAAAATAGAACTTACTCTATTTTCTTAATTATTCTTATTTGGGGTAAGTGTGCACCTGTGCACCCATGAAGGTCAGAAGAGGGCAATGGATGACTTGGAGCTGTTAAAGTTACAGGCAGTTGTGAGCCACCTGACTTGGATCCTAACAACTTAACTCAGGTCCTCTGAAGGGCAGCAAATGCTCAGAACCAGTGAGCCACCTCTCTAGCTCCTGAACTTTTTGCCTAGTTATTTTCTGCACACACCCCAACACACACACACACACACACACACACACACACACACACACACACACACACACAGCTGTAAGCTTAATGAAAGCTAAGAGATTCTTTGCCTTTATCATTGTGCCTGGCACATGTACACCTCAAACATTTGTTGAATGAAAGAAATTCTACAGTGATTTATACAGCTTTTCATTTATTCATGTACATGCTTTATATCTTTGGTATAGAAAGTTTTTTAAATTCTTTAAAAATGATACATGAAGTACTCGTTAAATGTTATTTTTTTCATCTTTTCTACTTAAATGCGAATTGATTTATAAAAAAGACCTTGCTCTACATATTTTGCAAGCCATAAAGTCACCAACAGGGGTTTTTAGGCTCCTTAACCTCTGAAAACACAGGAAACAGGAAAGAAAAGAAAGAACTAAGTAAGCAGCTGCCTATTAGCAGCTGTGACTCCCATGTTCTCTTTCACTGCGATTATGCCCCAATATTCAGTACAGACACCACCAGCAACTCAGTTCCTCTTGGACAGTGGAGGTTTGCAGATGCACCTCAGCAGTTTACTCCCTGTCACCATAACTACAGGGGGTGGGGGTGGGGAGCAATGGGAAAACTTCTAGACAGGCAGGGAATCTCAGTCCTAACCCCTGCCTTTTCTCATCATCGTTTTATTGTATTTACTTACTGAGTGAGAGAGAGAATGTGTGAGTGCATGCATGCATACATCTATGCATGCTGCCATGGTATGCATGCAGACACACCTTGGAGGACAATTTTTGGGAGCTGGTTGTTTATTTTCACCCTGTGGGTCCTAAGGATTAATCTCAGGTCATCAGGCTTAGCAGTAATGCCTTTACAGTCCATTCCTGACTTTTCTATCACTAGCTCTATATACCTTTAAAAAAAAATACTTTTTAGGTTTATTTTATTAATGCATATGGATATTTTGCCTACATGTATGTATGAGCACCGTGTGCATGCTTGGTGTTAGTGGAGGTTGTTGGAGTTAAATCTGGTTGTAAGTTGCCATGTGGGTGCAGGGTGGGTTGTCTACAAGAGCAACGAGTGCTCATAACCATCGAGCAAACTCTCCCGCTCCACTACAAATAATCTTAGGGAAAAAATCATTATAAAATAAAAATATCAAGACATCTAACATGGTAGATTATAGCTCTCAAATACTGTATTATTTAGAAAGGCCCCTAAAGGGGCTATTATATTTCATCCTTAAGTAAAAAAAAAAAAACAAACAAACAAACAAAACTCTCACCAGGATTTAAAACATTAAAACTTTAAATGAACTGAGAATGTAACTCAGTAGAGCAGCATTTACCTAGCATACATACAACTCTAGATTTGATTGCTAACTCTGCAAAATAATAACAAAAATTTTAAAAAATATATTAAATGAGCCAGGCATAGTGGCATATGCCTTTAATCCCAGTACTGAGGAGGTACAGGCAGGTGGATCTCTGTAAATTCAAGGCCAGCCTGGACTACATATATAGTTCCAGGACAGCCAGAGCTATATAAAGAGAAACCCTGTCTCAAAAACCAAACAAGGAAATAAAGATATGACTTTTAAAGCTGTCTAATTTTCCTTGCTAAGCACTTACTACATGGCTTTTTTTTATTATTAATTTATGTATTTTGAGACAAGGTTTCTCTACATAGCCTTAGCTGTCCTGTAACTCACTATACAGCCTACAACACAAGGCTATATTTTTAAACTATACTGCTAATCCAAAATACAACAAAAATACAAAATAATCCCTGTGAGGTTGCTTTTTTTATTTTTTATTTTCCCATAGACCATCTTCTATCACTTCTATTCCTAGCTAAGTCCGATCCTCAGAACACGCATAAAAGCCTGACATAACACATGCCTGTAATCCCAGTAATAGAAGACAGAGGCAGGAGGACTCTGGGGCTTGACAGCTAGCCAATCAACTCAAATTCGCAAACTCAGGCTCACCTCAAAAAATACAGTAGAAAGCAATTGAGGAAGACACCCAACACTCAACTCCGGCCTACATATGCACTAGCAAACCCACAAACACGTACACTGTACACACACACCAACATAAACTCTAAAAATAAATTTAAAACTAGCATGGTGGTGTATGTCTTTAATCTCAGCACTCAGGTGCTTTGAGTCTGAGAGTCTGAGGCCAGCCTGATCTATGTAGAGTGTTTCAGGGCAGCCAGGACTACATAGTGAGACCCTGTCTCAAAAAAAAAAAAAAAAAAAAAAAGTTTTAAAATAAATAAAAAAGAGGTAGAGGGTCCATTCTGTCTCTTATCTTCCATCAGTATGCATAATACAACTGATGTTTCTCTAAGGCCAGTATCTTGTAAAAGAGTCTTGACCCAGGAATCACAAATTCATGGTGTTACTTATAGAGATGAGAAATAAGTAACTACCACTGTATCAATAAGAACAAACAGCAGCCATATAAAACTAGAACACATATTCAATAATATTCAGTATTCAAATGGATACTACACATATATTTACTAAACCTACATGAGCAAACACAGAGCGGTACAACTAGCCATTCAATGTAAACAGAAATACACAAAGAGAGAGGAAAAATCACAAAAATGCTAATCAAGTTAAATATTCAGTCTAAAAAAAGTACGTATCAAATGTTAACCTCAGAAATAAGATTGTAATTTTTTCAACTTACTTTGATTTTATAAATTTTATAATAATCATTTATTAATGAAAATAAGTTAAGTCACCTTTTCAAAAGAAACTAAAAACATCCTTTAACATAAACTACAAGAGCATGTCTCTCCACTTAAGAAATATGAACTATGGGGCTGGAGAGAAGGCTCAGCGGTTAAGAGCACTGGTTACTTGCTGGGTGGTGGTGGCACACACCTTTAATCCCAGCACTTGGGAGGCAGAGCCAGGTAGATCTCTGTGAGTTCGAGGCCAGTCTGGTATATAGAGCGAGATTCAGGACAGGCACCAAAACTACACAGGGAATGGGGGGGGGGGGAGCACTGGCTACTCTTCCAGAGGACCCGGGTTCAATTCCCAGCACCCACATGGCAGCTCACAATTGTCTGTAACTTTAGTTCCAGGGAATCTGACACCTTCACACAGACATACATGTAGGCCAAACACCAATGCACATAAAAATAAATAATAAAAATAACAAAAAAAAGAAAAGAAAGAAAGAAATATGAGCTATGCATACCAGGAGTTCATCCATGCTAGTCTGACACTTCTCAAGGTTTATCCGTTTGATTGCCACTTTCTCCTTTTTGGGGGCACAATACGCTGCTTGGACCACAGCAGTTGCTCCACTCCCTGAAAACAAATACATAAATAAATAATACACATATAAAGCATGGCATTTTGAATCACCACAGTTTCATTTAAACAGTGAAGACTAAGCCTGTCTTGGCCCGCAGTGGACAACAGATGAGGAGACATGCCCTAGAGAGCTAGCGAACACAACCTTAAGAACCTCAGGGCCAGCAGGATGGCTCAGCAGGTAAAGGTTCCCACCTGACAGCAAGCCTCACAGCCTGAGTTCAAACCCAATGCCTGCATGGTAGAAGGAAAGAAGTGATTCCAAAAAGATGTCCTCTGACCTCCACACATACACACGCACACAATATAATGAAAATGTAATTGAGAATTAAAAAACAAAAACCACCCTCAGCTATTTCAAGTCTATAGCTAATAAATAAGAGTGTAAAAAAAATTTGAAAATTGGCCGGGCGGTGGTGGCGCACGCCTTTAATCCCAGCACTTGGGAGGCAGAGACTGGAGGATCTTTGTGAGTTCGAGGCCAGCCTGGTCTACAGAGCAAGATCCAGGAAAGGCGCAAAGCTACACAGAGAAACCCTGTCTCGAAAAACCAAAAAAACAAAAACAAAAAAAAATTGAAAATTGAAAATTGTTAGGATTCCAGTTCTAAAGTAATGATAGCATAGGTCCATACTCCCTGTTCTCCAAATACAACTAAATACCATAAAAACAACTGAAAAATGATCACAAAAGGGCTTTGGAAGGTATAGAAAGGAGGTACCAGCTAGAGACCCTGGAGCTAGGAAAACCCGTGGTGAGTTCAATGAATTTCCCTTTTCTCTCCCATGTTTCAGGCTGGACAACAAGGAGGTCTGCACTTCAGAGTCACCAAGAAAATAAGGATAGATAGATGCACAGACAAGCCAACAAACTAGAAAAGCCTGCCCTCTGGCTAAAGATCTGTGAAAAGGGCAGCTCAGCACAGATCTAGAAAGTCAAAGTATTCCGCAGTCCTCATCCAGGACAGGACTGGCCCAAATGACTCCGGCAGCAGCATGAACACGGTCCTCTACTTCACACCTTCAACGGTGGCAGGCAGTTTAACCCTGTCCACATCTATGGCAATGCCAAGCCAACCAGCCGTTAGCAGTACAGAGGGCCTGGACAGATCCTGGCACAGTGGTGCCAGAGCAATATTACAAGACCCCTGAAAACTAAATTACCAAAGCTAAATTACAACTCCCAAAAGTAGGACAGAAAACTATACACTAAACATAAATAGAGCAACTGCTTGCTGGAATACAAGAGGAAAATAAGAACAAGGTCTACCAACATAACAACCCAAATGTCTAGGATGCAATCAAAATGACGTATGGAATACCTGTAATCCCAGCACTTAGGAAGTAGAGGCAAGAGGGTCAGTTTAAAGTCATGTGTGACTACATGACAAGTTGGAGATCATCCTGGGTTACAAGAGAATGTCAAAAAATAAAATACATTCTCAATGAAGAAACTGGGATGGGAGGCAGGCTCAGCTGGTAAAGATGCTTGCTGCCAAGCCTGAAAACCTGAGTTCCAACCACAGGACTCACATGATGGAGAGAAGTGACTCCTGGAGGCTGTCCTCTGACCTCTACACGGCACTATGGTACAGTGTGCGTGTGCATACACTCACACAAGCGTGCGCACACAGGGTTAGGGTTGTGCTAGAGACTGGGCACAGGCCGTGTGACTTCTGAGCACAGACAAGCTCTGCCAACACAGTCTGTTCTCAGCACCAGGTTCTGCTTCTTTCAGTCCTGGTACTTGTCTGAAGGAGACTAACAGCAGTGGCTAAATTGGTCACACTACGAATTTATCTACAAAGATTTGTTTGGCTCACCAAAAACATCTTTTTTCTTAATGTGAAGAAAAAAAGACAACGAAATGTATACCCAGAAGTTATTTTTAAAGTACCAAATGGAATTATATAAATAAGATGTATACTGACTGAGAAAAAGCATTTGCTGGGCACTCAATGATGTACAGATCACACAGGATAAAATCTGTGAACTTAAAGACAAGCTAAATAACTTATCTAAACAACAAAGAAAACACTCTGAGGAAAAAGCCTTAGGGAGCAGTGGAGTTAACAGTGAAGAATCTATACTACACACAGTACATAAAATAATGCTCCCATCCCCAAGACATATACGTTCTATCTCAAAAACCTACAAACATATCACCTGATGTAGCAAAAAGAACAAAATCTACACTTGAGAGCTGGAGAGATGGCTCCTTGGTTAAAAGCACTTGCTACTCTTGGAGTTTCCAGCACACATTTGGTAGTTGGCTCACAACCAACTCTAACTCCAGTTCCAAGGGATCCAAAGCCCTCTTCTGGCCTCCATGGGTACCAACTGTGAACAGACATACATGCAGGCGAAACATCCACACATCAAATAAAAATACTTGTTAGATATTGTCAAGTTAAAAATCTAAGCCGGGCGGTGGTGGCGCACGCCTTTAATCCCAGCACTCGGGAGGCAGAGGCAGGCGGATCTCTGTGAGTTCGAGGCCAGCCTGGGCTACCAAGTGAGTTCCAGGAAAGGCGCAAAGCTACACAGAGAAACCCTGTCTCGAAAAACCAAAAAAAAAAAAAAAAAAAAATCTAAAGCTAAACATGGTGGTACACAACTGTAACCCCAGCACTCAAGGAGCAGAAGAAAAAGACTAAGTAAGAGTCTAAGGTCACACTGGGCTCCAGAGTCAGTCCCAGGTCTCACTACATGAGACCAGTCCCAAAAACATAAAAAAGGAAAGTAAAAAGCTTAAGATGGGAAGATTGTTCTGAATTATCTGGATGCGTTCAATGTAATGAAAAGGACCTACAGAAGTGAAAGAGGGAGGCGTCAGTTCCTCAGTCAAGGTAAGAGAAGGGAAGGCTGGAGTGATGAGCCACGAGTCAAGAAATGACCACTGACACACACTAAAGAAGAGGCTGAGTGAGGGAAGTCCAGCGTCAAAGGCCCATATTGTCAGATTTCCTTTATAGAAAATGTTCAGAACATGCAAATTCAGAGACAATAGTGGTTGGCAGGAGTTGAGAATGAGGAGTGGAAGTAACTACATCATAAGGTAGGTTTGTTCTTTCTCTTAGTGGTGATTACAAAATATACTAAATGCAAAAAATTTTAATCGGGGTTGGAGAGATGGCTCAGAGGTTAAGAGCACTGACTGCTCTTCCAGAGGTCATGAGTTCAATTCCCAGCAACCACATGGTGGCTCACAGCCATCTGTAATGAGAGCTGGTGCCCTCTTCTGGCCTGCAGTCACATATGCTGTATACATAATAAATAAATAAATCTTTAAAAAATTTTTTTTAATCAAGTAGACATTTTAACTGGTAACTTTTAGCCAAGTGTAGTGGCACACACCTTTAATCCCAGAACACAGGAGGCTGAGGTAGGAAAATCTCTGTGAGACCAGCCTGGTCTACAGAGCCCATTCTGGGACAGCCAGGACTACATAGAGACCCTGTCTCAAAAAAAAAAAAAAGGGCTGGAGAGATGGCTCAGAGGTTAAGAGCACCGACTGCTCTTCCAGAGGTCCTGAGTTCAATTCCCAGCACCCACATGATGGCTCACAACCATCTGTAATAAGATCTGGAGCCCTCTTCTGTGTACATAATAAATAAATCTAAAAAAGAAAAAAGAAGTCACTTTTATCTTATTTTTTTCAAAATACTGCAACCATAAGCTGGGTGGGGGTGGTACACATCTTTAATCCCAGCACTCAGGAGGTAGAAAGAAGCAGGCAGATCTCTGTGAGCTTGAGGTCTACAAAGAAAGTTCCAGGACAGCCAGGGCTACACAAAGAAACCCTGTCTCAAAAAGCAAAACAAAATAAACACACAAACAAAGAATACTACAACAATCACCTCCTAATCCAAGAATTTTGAAAACAGCATGGAGCAATGCTTCAAAAACAACCAAAACTCAGCCCCAACGCAGAAAGTGAATGGGTTATCTAAAAGCTTTTGTTGGTTGGCTTCCCCTTCCTCCCTGCCCCCATTCCCAAAAACAAGGTTCAAGGCATTATCAAGCCCTTTAAGGTTATGGAAGTTAAGCAACAAATTTAATCTCATTCACCTTCTCCTCACCCATCCAGCCTTTCCTTCTCCTCTCTCTCTGGCCCATCACTTGCCTTCCTGACATGGATTATTTTAAAATCTTATCTAGGTGGAATCCTCCCTCCACCAAGAATGAAATGTGCATTTGCAAATCACTCCTCCAACCTCTAAATCACAGCACCTACTCAACACTGCACCAAGTATTTGATAACTGAACATATTAACTCATTCTTCATGTCCTGAATGTAATTAAGCACCATTGTCAACAAGTAATGCGTCTTTCTTACTATATATTAACTCACACGATGTCCTCCTTCCAAAGCCTGACTCAAAACGCACTTATTTTCAAGAACTACCGTTGAATGGACTGAAAATCACTCAACAGCTCCACTACTAGTAAGAGAATAAATTTCCATTTCCCAACCATGTGCCTGGCAAAGAAATGCTCAATTAATTGACTCAATTAAAGACTGCTATCACTCACTTATTTACTCATTACATAAGTTTTGGTTATTTAAACTGTTCAAACACATGTGTGTCTCAAGTATTTTTTGGTCTAGGCTGAGCTTATTAAGGTTCAAAAGTACTTGAATCTTTACCAAAACACAGAAGGGCAAATTATCCCTACCAGCTCTCCATCCTTTATATATTTCACTGAAATACACCCCCAATGTTTTAATCACTTGTATGATCATACACTAAATGTTCTCTTGTACAGTATAAGCTCCCAGATGGAAAAACATTAAACACTACAGGGAAAGTGACCATTAAATTCTCTCCCCTCCTTCTCTAGTATCTCATCTTCGTCTTAAATATAAAATAATTTCAAGAAAATGTTGGCAAGTTAAGAGGGAAAATGCTTTATGTATATTGTACAGTAGCTGCAGTAATAAAAACAGTCCTCAGTCAACTGCTGGACTCAAAACCCAAAATGCTTCCACTATTCTGGGGCCAAGTTACCTAGACTCCCTTATAACAAGTCTTTACTTTCAGTGGAGTTTAACTTGAATAAGAGCCCGAATCAACCTGTAAAATGGTTGGGGAGACGGCTCCATCCATAAAGTGCTTACCACACAAGCGTGAGGCCCTGAGCTCAGAGACCCAGAACCCTGTCAAAGCTGGGCGTGGCAGCACATGCCAGGAGTCCTAGCGCTGAGGAAACAAGAGACAGGGTCCTTGGAACCCACTGGCCAGCTAGTCTTGTTGGATCAGTGAGGCCCAGGTTCAGTAAGTGACTGGGTCTCAAATACAAGAAGAACAACTGAAGAAGTCACCCTACACAGACAACTGCCCTTCCCATGTGTGCTGCACATGGACATGCACACGCATACCACACAAAGAAACTTCTAAATTTTATTTATTTGTGTATGTGGATGTGTTGCCAGCATGTGTACCATGCGTGTATCTGGTACCCACAGAGGCCAGAAGAAGATACTGGATTCCTTGGAACTAGAGTTACAGATGATTGTGAGCTGCTATGTGGGTGCTAGGAATCAAACCCATGACCTCTAGAAGAACCACTAATGCTCTTAATCACTGAACCATTTCTTCAGTCTTCCAAAAACTAAAATAATAATAATAAACCTAAGAGAAGTATGCAACAATGTAAGGCAAGTACCTGATACTGAAATGACTAAGCTAACCCCCTCCTGTTCTCACTCCATTCTGTGTTTGCTTAGATAGTTCTCAGCCCCTACACTCTTCCCCCAACAGTCACATCTACCTTGGCAATACACCCGAGAGTCCCATGGCCTTGACCATAGTCCAGATGTATTAACCAAAATAATTAAAGTAAACTAATAACTAAAAAAGATATTAAGTAAAAAAATAATTGTTATGCGTGAGTTCAAGGCCAGCCTGATCTACAAAGCTAGTTCCAGGACAACCAAGACTACACAGAGAAACCCTGTTTAAAAAAAAAAAAAAAATTGTGATGGCATAGCTGAAATAATTACTGTTCTCTACCAGGAATAAACATTTCAAGGCTAATTTTACCCTAAATTAACTTAAATATAAATTACAGTCTTTGTGGTTTTTGCTTTTAATAATGCTGTACCCTAGCTGGGCAGTTGGTGTCACACGCCTTTAATCCCAGCACTTGGGAGGCAGAGGCAGGTGGATCTCAAAGAGTTGAAGGCCAGTCTGGTCTACAAAGTGAGTTCCAGGACAGCCAGGGATGTTACATGGAGAAACCTTGTCTCAAAAAACAAAAACAAACAAACAAACAAAAATGCTGTACCCAAGTTTGGTCACCAGAGACTTTCTAGAGACACAAGCCCACTCTTGGTCTGGCCATTAATGGACAAAATGTTAAGTGGTTTAATCAGCATGGTTGTCAATAACTATCTCAGTGGATCACTTCATTACAGGTCTACAACCTCAAGTGTACATCAGGGTAAGACAGGAGATGATTGAGGTCCAGGCCAACCCAGCCTCAGGGAGTTCAAGGTTAGCCAAGGTTATAAAGTAAAACCCCATCTCAGAAACAAAACGAAATCCTAAATATCTAAAGTGGGGAAGGGCGTCAGGAAAAAGCATTGAGAAAAATGCTAAATAAAAAGATAAATATATTCTACAAGTAAATACAAGAAACAAGTAGCTAACACAGACCCTGGTATGGTGACCCATACCTTGCTGTGGAATAATCTTTCTGTACACTGTGAATATGCATTACTCTCATTGGTTAATAAAAAGCCAACATGCCAGTAGCCAGGCAGGAAGTTAAGCAGGAAAGCCAAACTGAGAATGATAGGAAGAAGAGCAGAGTCAGGGGAGTTGCCAGGAGCCTCAGAGGGAGCAGGACATGCTGGAAGAAAAGTAAAGCCACAACTCATGTGGCAGAATGCAGATGAATAAAAATGGGTTAATTTAAGTTGTAAGAGCTAGTTATAATAAGCCCGAGCTATTGACTGAGCATTTATAAGTAATATAAGCCTCAGTGTGGTAATTTGGAAGAAGCTACTGGGGCAGGAAAACTCTGCATACTGATGGCACTCCAAAGTGATGGGCATACATCCACATAAAGCCTGAGAACGCTTTAAAAAAAAGGAGGGGAGAATTCTAGAAACACAAAAACAGAGCCAAGAGCAGCTTCCTAGTTCGTGTCTTTCATGCGGGCTGTGCTCACGGTACAGACACATCCCTTGACCGCTGGCTGCAGGCTTGAGCTGCTGCATGGCAGGTTCCTGCAGTCTTTCATGCCAGCTGCAGTACAGACAACCTAACCATCTCCCAATTTAAAGGCTCATACGATCAGAAAAAGGACAGAGATACACAGTAAGACAGATTCAGACAAAAAAAAAAAAAAAAAGCCTCTAAACGAGTCACAGTGTGTTTGTAAATGTGCATAGACTTGGGAGATATACAGTCTTAGATTAAAAGATATAGGTTTAAAATAAAGTCCTTTAAAAGGAATACAGTAATAAAAAATATATAAACCACATAAAGATGGGAAATACACAGAATCTGGATCCTATGTTATTGTGCTGTCTTTAGATTTTTTGACCGTTAATGAACAAATGATTATAAAAGCTACTAAATTGAACCAACCTATATATTTTAAAGATGACTTGATTTCAAAATGTAAGTCAAGAGATACATTACATTGGGGGAGAGGTAAAGTTTTTATTTCCACGGGAAATGAGAAGCTGTGGATTCATTCCAGGTTAAAGAACATCAGGTTTGATGGGGGAAGACCCCCTAAAATCCTCTCTGTAGACATAAAGAAATAAACCTAAAAATAACTACAGGACAGATGACATGTATTTTACCTGCTCAAACATGAAACAAAAAAATTATCTTTGGTTGACTTATGTACAATGCACAATCTATATTTGTATTAATACAGATATGTATGTTACCTTCAAAAGTTTATGTATTTTCAGAACAAGGGGAGCAGACACCAATAAAAAACGGCCCAGGTGATCCAACATGCAAAACAGCTTTAAAGCTAATTACTGAGATGATCCAGCTTCAGAGAATACTACAGCCAAGATTTAACAATTATCCTGATTTTCTCAGGGTCCCCCAAAGATTACTAGTGCCCTCAGTCAACAAGACATAGTCTAGAAAACTAGGTCCACATTCTCAAAATATTGGTTATAGATGTTTGTTTTCATTTAAGGGGAGTTGGTTAAAAATTGTTATTGATCATAGTCCAAAAGGGGGGGGGGATAAACAAAAGAGTTAAATTCAGAGCTCTCTTTCTAAAAGAAGAAAGGGAGATATGATGGGGGAAAAGGGTAGGTTACTGAAACCACTTTAATCCAAAAGACAACATTAATCTTGAAATATTTTATATACAAATTTAAAGTTTATTTTGTTATACTATATGTATATTTCTACTCTTGTTTAAGGTAAATGTGCTTATACAACTCATTTAAAAATGTAATGTATAATTAAGAAATACAGGCTAATAGTCACCCACAACTATCAAACTTATAGTCATGTTAGCTGGATGATACAGAAATGTATTTCAGATAGTTAGGTAATCTTCAAACACTTCAAAGACCTACAGAACATGGCATTTAAAAGGCTTAATAACCTAAGGCTTTTCATGACAGTGAGATACGTCTGCTCCTCGTGGTACTAACATTCAACAAAGATAATGGGCATAGAAGAAACTCCGTATGGAGTTTGTTTTCTTTATGGCAAAAGCTAGCCATGTGGGGGAAAAAAAAAAACTGCCCTTGCCTCAACTACTGACAGTTACTGTCCAAACTGGACCCTTAGGACACAAAAAATGTGACTGCTGAATTTTGCCAAGACAAGGTAGGACAGTTCTTCAAAACTCCTGCTTCAGAGGAAAGTCTGTCAGATATGCAAGGCCTGTAGGTCAGAGTTGGATGCCTCAACATTACAGAGGAACTTTGAGTGACTGTCCAGGCATCGAGACATCCCTGACGTTAGATAACATTTCACCCTTCTGGAGTCTCTTACAGTGTTGAAGACTAGATAGTCATAGTTATAGTTCTTTTTAGTTATGGTAAAAGATAAATTATATAAATATATATTTATATGTATATTTATATATTTCTATAATTATATAAAATAAATATATATTATATATTTATATAATTATATAAATATCTATAAATAAATGTGAAACTTTAAACTCACCAAAACAGGATAGAAAATGGAGTATTTTTCTCTAATTTTGTCAAATAAAAATGGACTGGATATTGTAACTCTAATTCTGTTTTTGTTGTATATAATCTTACTATAACAAAGTTAAAATCTTCCTTTTTAAATAGACAAAAAAGGGGAAATTCTGTGGAATAATCCTTCTGTATACTGTGAATATGTATTACTCTCATTGGTTAATAAAAAGCTGACAAGCTGGTAGCCAGGCAGGAAGTTAGGCGAGAAAGCCAAACTGAGAATGATGGGATGGAGGGCAGTCAGGGGAGTTGCCTCAGAGGGAGCAGGACATGCTGGAAGACAGGTAAAGCCACAACCCATGTGGCAGAATGCAGATGAATAGAAATGGGTTAATTTAAGTTGTAAGACTGAGCTATTGACTGAGCATTTATAAGTAATATAAGCCTAAGTGTGGTAATTTGGAAGAGGCTACTGGGATGGGAAAACTTTGCCTACAACACCTTTAATCCCAGCACTTAGAACAGAAGCAGGGGGATCTTTGAGTTCCAAGCCAGCTTGGTATACATAGAGAGCTCCAAGCTAGCCAAGACTACATACTCAGTGCCTGCCTTTAAAAAATAAAGTAAAATAAAGTAACTTGGGCACAGTGGTACAAGCCTTTGGTTCATTTAATCCCAGCACTCAGGAAGTAGAAGCAGGCAGCTCTCTATGAGTTCCAGATCAGCCTGGCCTACAGAGCTAGTTCCAGGACAGTCAGGGCTACACAGAGAAACCCTGTCAAAAATAGATAGATACACAGACAGACAGAGAGGCAGGCAGGCAGATAGAAAGAAAGAAGAGCTCAAGGTGGGCATGGTGGCATAGGCCTTTAATTCCAGTACTGGAAACAGGCAGGCTGACCTCTTACACAGGGTTTCTCTGTGTAGCCCTGGCTGTCCTGGAACTCAATCTGTAGACCTATAGATCAGGCTGGCCTCCAACTCAGAAATTCACCTGCCTCTGCCTCCCAAGTACTGTTGTCTATAGGCTTTAATGAGGAAGTATACTACTTTTTTTCAACTTATATGTTTTTATAAGAAGGAAACTTTTCTAGTCTACTGGAAGGAAAAATCAGTTCTAGATTTCTGAGTTGTCTTAGCTTAGGTTTTTATTGCTCTGAAGAGACAGCATGACCACGAAAACTCTTATAAAGAAAACATTTAATTGGGGTGGCTCACTTACAATTTCAGAGATTCAGGCCATTGTCATCATAAAGGGGAACATGTGTAGTGGGTAGCCATTCCAGCTTTGATCTGGAAATTCCAACCCCCATTGAGGCTTCGACAATTGTCACACCTACAAGGCCGGGCCAAGGGAGGCACCGAGAGACGAGACCCGAGATCTGGATGGGCCAGCGAGCTCTCTCGGTTCCTGGACCCTGGACGGTGGAGGTTGACCGAACAGAGCTCCAGAGAACACCGCTGGACTTCGATACACCTTCCCCAGACCCCACTACCTACCTTTCCTTTTCGTAAGTTACCCACTAAATAAATCTTCCTTTTAACTACGTGGAGTGGCCATAATAATTTCACCAATGAGCATGGTGGCCTGCAGGCAGATGTGGTGGTGGAGCTGAGAATGCTACATCTTGCAAGCAACAGGAAGCCAACTGTCTGAACCTGCCCCCACAGTGACACACTTTCTTCAATAAGGCGACACCTTCTAACAGTACCACTTCCTTTGGCAAACCACCACGTGTTTAAAAAACAAAAACAAACTGTGGTAGACAAAGAAATCTGATAATTTTGTTAATTGTTTTTTAATTACAAGTCAACCTATGAATATAAGAACAGGACAGCTTGACATGGTAGCACAGCTATATTACGTTGGAGACAAGGTTTTGCTTTTGTTTCTACAGGAGAAGAAAAGCTATGGTTATCATCAAAATTGATAAAGGGTTCTATTTGAACAAGAGACCTCTTAATTAGAAGAGGTGATAGTTCATCAGCCAGCATGACCATTCAATTTAAATTAACTTATACAAGTAACAAATGCTTTTCATTTAATCAGATATAACTTGCCCAAAGGGAACTTCCCCAAAGTTAGGGTTAGGAAAGGGTTTTTGTTTTTGTCTTTCAGGAGAATGAAGGCTAAGGAATCTGAAGAACACTGGGCAAATGAGACACCTGAAGAAAAAGGACAAATCATCCAGAAAAAATGTCCCAAGAAAAAGAGTAAATTGGCCTATTGGTATATCACATATAAAATTTCATAAGTCTTCCTAAATGTTTGTTTCTGCTCTTCTAACCAGACACTAAATACAAATGGTCTTTATGGAGTCCCAGTTCAATTAAAAATTAAAGCTGGCTTTGGAGTTGGAGAATGGCTCTCTCCTTCTCTAAACCCAAGCATGCTTGTTAAAAAAAAATGCAAAATCATGTCATGTATCATGTCAGAAGAGTCATCTGATATGGCACAAGAGAAAACCAAAACTAAGGGACTATTCTATTGCCACTAATCTCATAATTCCTTGGTTCTATTTTGATTCTTTAAAACTTTTCTTAAGGTATGAATTTTATATCAAAATTTATAAGATTTATATATATATATATAAAAAACTTTTGTCATGATATTAATGGTCATATAGGATACTAACTAATTCTAGAAAAAAAAGGAAGGCTTCATCTAGCTTCCTATACAGGATTTCGAGTTTGAGTCTCTATCAGTTTTCTGCAGAGAACCATGACCACACTGAACAACTTTGAAGTCTCCAAACGGATGATGGGCCCCCACAACGATGATTCCACATGGACAATAAATAATAATACCACTAAGCTGACAAACATCACCCAAAGATCAGCTTTGGGCTACAAACTGCTTAGGACAATTTTGAGATAGCTAGTTGAGATGATCCAGCCTCACAAACTATTCAAGCGAGGACTTGAGATAAGCCCTGAACTTTCCCATTATAGAGAGACTGGACAACAAATGATACAACTACCTCTCCTGGAACTTGACAATTAACCCAAAATTTTTTTTCTCAGGACCCCTAAAGATTCCTTTGCCCCCTGCCCCCCGACAGCAGGAAGTAATTTTAAGAACATGACACCCACATTCCCAAGAGGTGGAGTGAGTGGTTTTTGTTCTTTCAATGGGTTATGGGTAATTGTCATTGTTTAGACTGGTTGGTTACAAGTTGTCATTGCTAATGGTTAGGAAAAGGGCCAAACAAAAGAGATTAAAGGTTCTTGTTTGGAAAAAAGAAAAAGGAAAAAAAGGATATAGATAAGAGGTAGATTATTGAAATTACTCTGGAAAAAAAAGATATAGAAATGATAGACTAAAGGGTAGATTATTGAATCTACTCTGAAAAGAAAAAAAGGAGAGGATATAGATATAA